CGGCATATAAGGTCCACTCTGGATTTCTTAACTTTATTCAGAACTGTGTCTATTGATTTATTCATTTCCTCATATGGTCCTGTTTCTATGTGATTATTCACCTTGTCCAAATAGTCTGATTTGTCTAATACTACTGTTGCATTTCCTTTGTCTGACTTTGCGATTACTATATCCTTTTGTTCTTAAGGTGTTTCAGGGCTTCTGTCTCTGGCTTTGTCAGGTTAGGCTTTCTACATTTCTGTCGTTCGAATAATCATCTAGTACATATTTCTAGTTCACTGTATGATACATCTAATAAACAAACTAATATGGAATAACTTACTACTACAGTGCCCAAGTTTTACACATATATCAGGCATATAAGATCTTGAAAAGGAAACTAGAACGACGGAATTTCACATAGAAATGAGAACTTTACATCATATTTATTTACTAATTGCATGAACATATAATACACAACTCACCAAGTGATTCACTCCCCTCACTTGTCAATCGTTTATCTATTTTTTTGTATATATTAAAACCCTCTCTAACAGACTAGTGAGCGACATAAGACATATTTTTAAACTATTCAAATAAATATGATTATTAGCGAACTAGAATTTGGATAGATTCACTTTGGGTTTGAATAACTTGGCAACGTGTTTTATACTGTCAACCACACATACGGTGAGCTTATCGAGTTTAAAAGTTATGTTTGTACGAATTACCGGAAGCACTTCTACTTTCCATTGTTACTTTTGATTACACAAACTGAAATTTGTTATCAAAATAAGAAAAGTTTAGATTCAAAAAATATTGTAAGTAAATAACATTCTTTAGGTTATGATGAAGTTATTCAAATTTCTAAAAACTAACATTTGAAAATCAATCCGCTGTTCATTGATTAATACTCACTAAGGGATGGACTTCTTAGAGTGCGATCCATAAAGTAGGTTGTCAGAATAGACAATAACTGGATGTGGCACTACAAATCGTGAGTTGGCAGAATTTAGAATTTACGGGCCATCGGCTGTATAGTTACGTGCTTACATCGTAACCTAAAAGTCCTAATGGGGTCACAAACATGCTCTGCCGAAGAGTGACAAATTAATATGACACATTTATCGACTGCTGGCTGGTTCTCAGTGGTTCTCTTCCCAACGCCGGTATGTGAAAATATCAACCTTGAAATCAATAAAACACTTTAAAGTTATTCATAATTTGAGTTGAACAGAATTTACATGAATAGGCGATTTAAAATTTATTTTTAGCCCTACAACCAACACAAACCACTCGAATGTCCTTCTACTTTGAATTAATGACCATTAGCTAAATTACAGCTGAAAAATAAGTACTTCTTCCTCAAGAATCAAACAGGTCGGAATACTGTCTCCCAACCCTTGCATAAGTGAATTCTATGAGCAAACAAACTTCACTTTCTAACACAACACGGAATTATTTTATTATTATTATTCCCTTGGGTTCCTAGTGGAACATAGGGCTTCAACTGCACGTCTCTACTTGCTTCTGTCTTCTGGTGCTGTACTTTTCACCTCCGTCCATCCACTGTTTCAACTCCTCTTCCCACGATCTCCTCCATGTCACCCTTGCACTGACATCCCACTCGCCGCTTCCCTTTTGGGTTCCACTCGAGTAATGACCTGAAGCGCGTTGTCACCCAAAACACGGAATTACATATAATATTTCCTGAGTCTGATTTGTAATATTCCGAAATGCAAATCTCATATGTCAACCTGTTCATATTGACAAAACAACAATTACATTAAATTCTCTATTAAATAAATTGGTATTGACAATAGTTTGGTGTTCTAAAAGCCTTCATATCTTATCATGAATGCGTACCACTAGATCACGGTGGAGTTTAGTCATCCACCTGTTTCATAATGATTAGATATACAAATTCATGAGACAAAAAACATTGTTCTCATCAGCTGCAGACTACCTGAAATTACAATGGTTATGTAGATGATAATAACATACTTTAATGTTCGAGTGGTGGTAGAAAAGAGATACTATAAAATTGACGCATCTAAATGAAAGCATTACAATGTTTTTAGTTTAAGTTTTCATCATCAATTTATACGCTTTTAAAGTTGAAAATAAGGGGGAGGGGTAAGGCAGAAAACAGAAAAAATTGATTAACAGAACAGTGTTAGCTTGTAGGTTCACATAGCAACTCAAGAAACAAAAACGGTTACAGTTTATGAGATTAAGATTTGTTCAGTGAGTTGAGATCACTGAATTAGATGACTAATCAAAATCAAAATTCTGTTACCAAGGAAGTGAGGGGTTAATCACACTCTCTTTCTGTATGCATAAGTCTTGTTTAAGTCGTTTGATTGCGATTGCTTCGGCAAACCGTAGTAAATTTGCTGTCCTTTGTCTATTTAATATTTTGAAGGACTTAGAAATCTCTACGAGATGTCCGGCATCAATAATGTGTCTGGTAATTGCACTCTGGGAATATCTGCTTCCTTTCAGGCACAGGTTTTTGGGAATATGTTCAGAAAACCGGATAGAAGCCCTTCTTTCTGTCCTTCCAATGTACTTGCTCCCGCAAGTGCATGTGAATTCATAAACGCAGTTGAAGGTGACATCAGCAGGTTATTTATCCAGTTTTGAGTGGATTAAGGAAGGAGTGGTGCTGTATACTGTTATGAGTTTTGCTGCTGGGAAGCTTCTATTTATTTCACCTTTCAGTCTTTTGTCAATCTTTTGTGACACTGCATCTCCTTTGTATGGTAGACAAATTTGTCTATGATTTGCCGAAGCAATCGCAATCAAAAGACTTAAACAAGACTTATGCATACAGAAAGAGAGTGTGATTAACCCCTCACTTCCTTGGTAACAGAATTTTGATTTTGATTAGTCATCTAATTCAGTGATCTCAACTCACTGAACAAATCTTAATCTCATAAACTGTAACCGTTTTTGTTTCTTGAGTTGCTATGTGAACCTACAAGCTAACACTGTTCTGTTAATCAATTTTTCTGTTTTCTGTCTTACCCCTCCCCTTATTTTCAACTTTAAAAGGTGTGGTGATTGACAATTTCTATCTCTGTATTGTTTAAATACTTACTGTTGATTGTTAATATGTTTCTTATATGAATTGCAGTATAATTCCGCTGAATACAAATTCCTGAATTCGACCCTCCCTGTGTTTTGGTTGGATTCTTGTAATTCGGTCATCTCGAAATACTAATACTACGATTACAAATAATTACTACAAAAGCGTATAAATTGATGATGAAAACTTAAACTAAAAACATTGTAATGCTTTCATTTAGATGCGTCATTTTTATAGTATCTCTTTTCTACCACCACTCAAACATTAAAGTATGTTATTGTCATCTATATAACCATTGTAATTTCAGGTAGTCTGCAGCTGATGAGAGCCTGTGAAATAGAATGATATCATTTAATACTGCAAATTTCATCTTCCTTTCTTTATCGAAATTTATCAAGGGAACCAAATGTACGAAAAAACATTGTGTTTCTTCACATACATTGTCATCATAGCCATATATCGTGTAATAAGCTCAGTCTTTTCACCGTGACACATGACTTATTTCACAAAGCAATTCGTTTCATCAGGCTCAAACACACAAACAACAAACAATTGCAGAAATGAATGAGTAAACGAATATTATCACACACTCACACACGCACACTTGAAGTTGACATTTACATGGCAGATTAAAATATACATCATCCATCCAGTTAGAAATGAGACTGTATTTTCACTTTCGAATATTTGTTTCTCTCAGGTGATTATCCTCACTAAAACACTGTGCATGCTTAGGATTTTCTTCTAATCTTATGTAATTCATCTATTTAATATGACTTTATGAATCGTACTGCTATACACATAGTCATTTCAAACTACAATTAATGGTGAAATATTCAGGTCTACCATGAAATCTCTTTTTTGTTATAAAAATGTGCTCTATTAGTCAGCTAGAATTGTTTCTCTGAAGTTCGAAATCACTAGTTGTGAGTTTTTAATGAGTGGATAAATTATGCTTTATAGATAATATATATCGTGACACACTTCTCTTCAGAATATGTTGGATTTCCATCGTAATGAAGTGATACACAGTCTAGAATAATGTAAGAATTAATGCGGGAGAGAGAAATCAGTAGTGAGCCAGTTTCCAGTGAAATACCGAAACGTAACGACAGTCAATGGCAGAATACTTTCCAACCACGCATGTGTGTTGACGTACTCCTTTACCTCTCTAAGCCAGTAGCAAGATTGGTAAAGAGGGAAGGTTGGGCACGAGGCTACCAACCCCATCCTGTTTAAATAATCACCACTGCTATGGAAACTTCAAGCCTCTAGCTTGAAGCCCTATGTTCGTTTAAGCATCGTTTCAACTACAGGCGGACGGTACTGACAAGGATATCAAAGCAAGCATCGGAAAAGCAAGACAGGCTTTCATTACCCTCGAGTCTGTGTGGAGGGCAACAGCACTCAGCATTAAAAATAACATCCGGATTTTCAACTCCAATGTGAAGTTAGTGCTACTGACTATACGGATCAGAGACTTGCCCAGCACATTGTGAAGAGTACCTCGAACAAACCACAGACCTTCATCAACAGCTGCCTTCGCTCAATACTCAAGATCAGATGGCCAGCCAGAAAGGATCAGCGACAGGGATCTCTGAGAGCGAACCAACCCAGCAGGAACCGATTATGCAACAAGTAGGCAGGAAGAAATGGAGGTGGATTAGCCATACTCTGAAGAAACCATCAAGTGAGTGGCATCACTAGACAAACCATCGCTCGATTGCTAACCGAAAGGGAAGCAGCGAGTTGGTCGTCAGTGCGAGGGTGACTTGTAGGAGGTCATGTGAAGAGGAGATGAAAGTATATGGGCAGACTTGAAGCGGAGTGAAAAAGTTGGCAGAAAACCGAAAGCAATGGAGACACGCAGCTGAAGCCCTATGTTCCTCTAGGAATTAAAGGAAATAATAATAATTAATAATATGTTCCACTGGGAACGTAAAAGAACATTATAGTAATGATAATAATAATATAAATAATAAAAACAAAATCATATAGTCATACATAGCCAAACATTCGAGAGCAACATCACATCATAAAAGTATTAAACAACATACACCAAATGAATGGTACTAATTGTTTTTCAAGAATTAATCAAGTTATGCACTGTATGAAATAGAAGATATATGAACAGTTGAGGCTTACTATAAGCATTCATATACTTTATTACATACTCAAATCTAGGTCACTAGTAATTCTAACAGCTGTAAGATTCACAGTATTACCAATTAGAATTACGCTTATTTTGACTTTTGTTCACGCAGCAATCAAATATCTTTTCTTAATATGTCAGCTACCATTTAAAACAAAATACGAAGTTTACAGGAGATAATATGGTTGAAAATAGTCTCTCTCTTGTATCGCGTAAAACTCAGCTAAGCTTGACTTTCAATCCCCAAAAGTTCACAAGATCTATTCCAAAACCATTCTCTTTCTTCTTTATTTTTAACTATAGACAACGGTTTTTTAAAATCGCAGTTTGAATAGTAGCCACCAGATATTAACTTGTCTGATAAGACAGTGTATAACGTGGTTTGTGCACCTTTCCATGAATCGATGAAAAACGGTCGCACTAGTGTAACAAACATTTTCTGTAAAAAGAAGAAGAAATGTGAAAATTAGCGGTAAATTAAAAGCACTATGGGAAGTATGCTAGTTGAAACAGACTTATTAAAATATCGATCAGTCTACAAAGAAAAATGCAACTGTGACATTTTCGGTTCTGTTGCATTTGAATATGAAAGACATCAAAATTGAAATCACTTGGTGTATTCTGATAAGCTACAGTTGATCTAATGAACAAACATTCACTGATTAACTTCCCTATCCACCTAACCGTATAACTTTTTAAGACCTCTACCCTATCCCACCCTATTGGACGAGTCATTTCAAAAGCAGCTGCATCGACCTAGCTTGGCACAGTTTGGCAGTTTTACCGACAACACTACAAAGGAACGTATACTGAACCTTCAAATTACAAGACAAACGCCTAGACCATTCAGCTGGTGATCAACTCTAAGTTCTCTCAGTTCGTCACATGTCTCCACCGCAACCGAATTTTTTTGATGGATACCAGCTTCATAGTTGATGTAGTAGAGTCCAGCCGCTTTCATGTATCATTGGAACTTCAAGACATATATTTGTGAGTACCAATAAGCAGAAGAATAGTAAAAGGATTTTTTAGGGAATGTATGGATGAAGACATTCACACTGGAATTAACCAAAATGTCCAACAACCAAAAGCCTTTGCTTCCAGTGTTAGCAGCCTTTTAATCTACTTCAAAAAATCAATGCCTCATTTGTCTATCTGATCGAACACAGAATGATAACGTATGAATTACTGAATGGATGTTGCATATGCGTAATCTGTTTAGGTGGAGTTAAAAGTATAATGCAATTCTAATACATATGAACTAAATGACCTTTCATATGTTCTATAATTTCCACTTACAACAGGAATAGATGGGCACACCTGCAGAGAAATACCTAAGAAATATTTTACCTTTTGCTTAGTCGACAGAATCCAATTTCGAACGCAGTTTAATCAGAAGCATTACACACAGAGTAGGATCAGTTTTTTGTACTGAAAGAGAAATAAATGTGACTATCTTCACACCTACAGGAAACTTAAAATGCGCATTTCATTAGCTGAGATTTATTTCATTTTTATCTACATTCAGATGTGTACTTGTAGCATTCTTTACCATAAGGATACTGACAACAGATTTCTGTATCTGTGATGACCTGAAAAAGATGCAATGAAAAGCATTTTTTCCATGCTTCCTCAACAAAAGTTTTTTGGCACTTTTGATCTCACTTGTTTCAAGGTAAAAAGAGGGATCAATAACAACGAAATATTTTGAGTACGGAGGATAAAAAAAAATAAATAAATGTTGAAACAAACAGATCTTCAATTATCTGGGATGCCCGAGATCGAAAGCGCAGATATGCTATGTTTCATACTGACAAAGTTCTAAAATACGCCTAGTCTGTGAATATGTGACATAACCCGACTTTTTAAGTAGATAATTTATCTTTCAGAATAATATTATGTAATGAAATTCCATAATGATTTACTTTGAGAATAATTATTACTGACAAACACATATAAGGCGCATTTCACTGTGATGAACTCACACTAAAAGGTCCTTCGATACAACTTTGAATGTCAGTCTTCACTGCACCAGGATGTAAACTAACCACCGTCACTCCACTATTTTGCAATCGCTCACTCAACTCAACCGCGTGCATCACATTTGCTAGTTTCGACTGATTGTAGGCCTTCATTTCACTGTATTCACTCTCAAGAAGCTGCAAATCTGGTTTTGTCAATCGACCGACATAGTGTGCCATGGAGGACACAATGATTATTCTTGATGGAGTTGATCGCTTCAACAGTGGTAACAATAATTCTGTCAACAGAAAGTGTCCTAAATGATTAACTCCCATAGTCATTTCGAAGCCATCGACTGTCTTCTCGTATTTACCAACAATTAGACCGGCATTATTGATTAGAATGTTCAACTCGGTATACTTGGATTTTATTCGATCAGCGAACTGTCTGACTGAATCTAGAGAGGCCAAATCAAGTTGTTCAATAATCAACTAAATAACAGATTCAAAACAGGCGGTAGGAAAGAAGGTTAAGCTACTCACATTAGACACATAACTGAATTCAAACTAACAAATACAAAATAGAAATCCTGATATATTTTCATGTAGTTGTGTTCTCTGAATGAGATGATTTATAATTACAACGCTTTCATTGTCTAGCTTGACAACGTCATCGCGGATGACTTTGAAATGAAGATGTTTTCTGGAAAGACAACGAAAACTTCGCAATTGAACCACCTGACCCTATTAAAAACATGTAACTGTGTTTCAAATCCCCATCAGAGAGAAAATTCTCACTTAGAGAAAAGGAGTGGGCGAAGAAATATTTACTTTTCAATTAGATCCTCATCTCTGGCTCTAACAATAAAAAATTTTAACAATCTAATGGTGATATGTTTGATTCTTTTATATTTTTGATTATAGCTTGATTCCACACCGTATTTTTGGTACAAGTAAGGAATTTCCAACATGTGACATCGGTCTCCCAAATTCTGCAGGCTGACCATTGAAATCAGGTATGCGTTTTCAGGGGATCGAACCCCGGATCATGTACATGGTCGGCGAGAGTCCTAACTGCTGCGCCACCGATGCAGCAATTAATTAATATCGACATGTCACTAGGCGTGATAATTAGCCAGGAAGATTAATACAAACACCTTACGAGTAAAAGTGATTACAGCAAGTGGACTTCACCAAGTCAGTGTGATGACAATGCCTAAAAAAACTATGTTCATAAAACTACGGTTCCTTGGAGATAATACCAGCGAAATAGTAATACAGTGCCAGAAGAAGGCAGTTAAAAGTAACATTCAATTCAGTAGGAGTACTCTGTCTATTCACAACCACTCTGAATTTATATCCAAGATATAATCATAAAACTACCTCCCCCTCTCTGTATATCTGCCAGACTGATTGCAGCGCTACAGAGCCAGCTGCATTGGGCATATGGCTAGCAAATTTCATCATCATATTTCCAGACATCGTCCTGCATGGTTAAGCAAGGGAAAAGCAAGATCTATGCTTAGCTCTGTTTTAGGGCACCACGTAGACAGTAAGCGTAAAGTACATGTTAATAAAGCATTGAAAATTATTTATCGCATGCCGACCAATATTAATTTTGCTCTACGAGTTGGCCTTCTACATACATCTGAAGCCATAGTAAACCACCTGAAGAAGCTGAACCTGTGTGTTAAAAGAAATTCATGACGCCACTTTCGTCACCATGGCCATCGTCAAGGGAATGCAAATACCCTACAATTTCGTCCTCCTTTTAAGCCTTTTACAAGTTACAATTATCCAAATTATTTTATTTTCCTTAAATTACCTATTACGTAGGTAACTTGAACACTCATTTATTTTTTAACTACTCTTCATTTTTCCAACGTTATGCATTGTGTAATCCACTTGCTCCAATCCTTTCCACCACTTAATTGCCTGCATTGATTTTCTTGGTTAGTTAACATATCTGCTGACATAATGATATTGACTAATTATTGTCAACAAACACACCGTTATTAGAATGACAAATTGTCTTGTATTGAATACAACAATTGTACCTTTGTTATTCTTATTTTGGGAAATATATTTATCATTACATAGAAATTAATAAAACTACCTACAAACATTGGATCACACAATGAAGTAGCTTAAGGTTACTTATTCCATAATATTGTTTACAGTAAGGTATATTAAAAGAGAGGACAATGGTGAAAGATAAGATGACGAAATAGTTAAAATGAACAACAAAAGGAGAAGTTGAGTTCAGTGTACATTTCACTGGAAAAAAGAAGAGAAGGAGAATGATAGGAAAGTAATAGTGATAAAAGACAGGAGGAGGAGGTCAGACACTATGAGCAATCCTGGGGCCAGCTAAGGAGAACTTCATAAAATAGGACGATGTGGACATGGTGTGCTGAAGCACATCTTCCATTCGGAACATAAAATATACATCATGTAATCAGCAAGGATGAGTTTGAATATTCTATTTACTAGAATATAAAATTTGACTCAGAAATATTTGAGTCAGTATGAAGTTAATGTGCATCTAGGATGCACAGATATGAAGAAACTTACTTTATTCCAAGTGATGCCAATGCATAGACACTGATATTCTACTAAAGTGTCAAGGAATAATTACAAAATATTACTATAGCACCTATTTTACGACTTCATTATTATTTTTTTATCGGTTTTTGTATAGGACTCGTCACTATGTCATTTTCTCAATCTCTAGGCAATAGTCACACCTCTGATAAGTTCATTAATTTGTTGTGTGATACCTAAACTGAACAACTGGAATGTAAATCCACTTGGTAAGCTGTTTTAAGAGTTTATGGTGAATTGTAATACATGACTTATTATTTTCTGGACACTGAAAGTAAAGTCAGAATAGCTGATTCATAGTACAATATTAGTGATAACAAGGTACAGGAACACTTCTTCTGAGTCAACAATAATTGAATTTTCAAGTTAGATCAAGAAGTAATTTTAAATTTTAAAAAATGAAAGCTAAGGAGCACCGGGCAGCTGTTACATCCCATTTTAAGACTCTTCAACATCACGCACCCCTGGTTCCACCATGGATGGAACCCACAACCCTTAGGCTACAAGCAAAGCTCTTTGAACATTTATCCAATCCGACCTGGAGTAAATCCTAGTTTTAAATGATTCGGTAGCTGAATTCAGCTCGTGATCAAACGTGGAATCAATGAAATCCCCGCAACATTTGAAAAAACAATTATAGTGGTGAAAACTGGTATTAAATGCATGCCATAACAAATTATAAATAAATTACGAATCAGATTTTCAGATTTATTATATCGGCTTCTTTAATCTGTTCCTCACGGGTAGAAATGCATTATGATTATGATAACACCCCATTGCACAAACTCTGTCACTAACATGCTATAATCACTGATTCCATATATCCTGAGAACCTCAAACGATCCGTCAGTATACCTCAGTAACAAACAAAATAACCTATTGTCGTGTTCTCACTTAACAATCCTGACATTGCTGTACTCATGACGTATGGCAATTGCTGGAGATGCATAAAACATATCACAGCCAGTTAATTCCATGAAGTTTCACAAGTTTATACATGGAACCAGCTTCTTGACTCACCAATTACAGAACTACTATGAGCAAGCAACATGAAGAAACTACTTGTAGGCTTTTATATCCGGTGATTTCGGAACACGAAGCAGAAAATTGCTATGAAGTACACTCTACTTTATTCAGATATCCAACTGCACATCTGAGACAAACTGGCCATTTTATTCATTCTGAAATTTTAACCAAAACTAGTACCGCCACCAAATCTCACTGGGCGGTTTTGTATGTTTAAACTGTCATATATCAATTCACAAAAAAGCATAAATTTAATAACCACTTTGTTATTTACAACTCCTCATGAAATAGTCATGAAATAAATTCACCCAATCGAGCTGCTTTCACGATTCCTATTTAACATTACTGTTGTGCCATCTGACATCAGAAAAATGAATCTCAGAGTTATCAATACTTAAAGATCAGACATTAAGTATGAGACTGCAAACAATCAGGCAGAAAATCTGAGTGTTTCAGATATTGTCATGACATATGCTGCCTATTAACTCTTCCCACCAACTTGAGTATTACAAGGAAGTTAAGCAAACATAACTAAGGCAAGTAATTATATAATCTAAAACTTTATGGTATGCTCACTTGATCATTTTGAATTGGACTTAATGACTGAGTCACATCTTTACACGCTACATCAATATTCACACTTTGTGGATTGTTAACACCATATTTCTCCAACAGTTGTTTTCTCGCGCCTTCAGCTTTCGATAAATTCCTGCATGCCATGATTACCTTAGCACCACGACGTGCTAATTCACCAGCTGTTATCAAGCCAATTCCTGCACTAGATCCAGTAACAATAGCCAACTTTCCATCTAATCTTTTTGATATGCAACATGATTTTGTCCATATTCCAGTAGTTTCAGACATATAATGAAGTTAATAACTCTAAAGGAATTGTAAATATATATATATATACAAATCATCAAATAACTAGGTTAAATTTAATCAATAAAAAACATTTAATCAATCGGATCTTGGTGAATTAAAATTTGTCTACTAGTGGTTATAAACTCACCAACACATACGTTCACTTTAGAACAGTAACTTGAAACCTTTCCACAAATGAATAGAGCAACTTCTGAACTCTAGTGCTACGTATAACACAATCACAATCCCCATTTATGGGTAAACAGTTAATAGAAATGTGGCTTAAACTTAACTTTTCTTTAGATAATCTAGGGATTAAGATACGGTCCTGTCCAGGTAGGTTTCCTATAAGTAGATCTTTTTATTGATGCATCAAGCCGTCGACTAAGCAATATGTCTAGGAAAGATAAACAATTATCTTCCTCTTCTACAGATGTAAGTGATATGCTATTCTGAACTTCATTCATTCGATTTAAAATTGAATTGGCAGAACAAGACTTATCACTGATGATTACAATATCAACTAAATACCTTCTATAAAGTGGCACATTTTCGATTAAATCCTCCGATAAATTCTCAATGTATGACATATAAATATCTGCTAAAAGGGGCCCTAACGGACTGCCCATAACAACACCATCAACCTGGCGGAAACAATCGCCTTCAAATGTAAACCACACTTAATCAAAAGGTTAAATGAACTTGTTAACCTTAGGTGTAAAATTATCTTCGAAAGTAACTCGTTGGAATTTTATAAATTATGTATTAAAAATCATTCCTTCCCAAGGCAATTTTATAAAACTTTGAAATTCAGTAAATTACAACCAAATATCTCTAATCTTGTTCGTCTTACAAAGTCACATATCGAAAATGTTAAACAAACGTTACAAGGACTACTTGCTCTTCATACCGATGCGTCGCTTATTTTATCTGAATTATCAATAATATACCACATGATATTTCTTCAGTTTTGTAAAGACGTTACTCAGAAAACAAAGACGAATACACAAAGTAAATTGAAGAGTTCATTTGATCACCGAAACCGCGTAGATGTCTTTCGGGGGAATCCTGATAAGTACGTTACAATTCTTTCTGATATTACTCTATCTACTCGTCAGAAAGAAGCTTTATCCCTTGGACTCAAATTTTGTGTTCCTTGCACTCAATTTACGGATTTAGCCATCCATGCTGAGTTTGAAAACTTATATGACCAACTCAAACCTCTTGCCGCAACATCCGATGAAGATCGGGGTTGGTTTAAGCCCAAGATGGTGGATATAGCTCACCAGTTTTTAAACAACAACCCAAAGGAGAAAAGTACTTTAAATTCCCAACATTTCAAAGCCTTGAAAGAGCTACGGGAAAATTCTAGTATAATTATTACTAAACCTGATAAAGGTTCTGGAGTCGTCATTATGAATAAAAGTGACTACAAATCTAAAATGATGTCTATTCTTGATGATAAGAGCAAATTTAGTCGTGATCCCTCCTCAGAAGATATTCAGTTGTTGCAGGGCACAGTGACAGCTGATCTTCTGAAGCTTCATGGCCTAAATGCTATAAGTAAAGATAAACTTGACTCATTAAAACCATCAGATTGTAAATTCCCACATATGTATGGGTTGCCAAAAATACATAAACCCAATAATCCTCTACGTCCTATATTGTCAATGTGCAAATCCCCAACGCATAAACTTGCTAAATGGTTAGTGGAATTATTGAATCCAGTCAAAACACAATTCTGTAAGTATGTGTTAAAAGATACATTTGAATTGGTTGATGATCTTGACGATAGTAATATTAATATTATGAACAAGAATATGCACTCTTTTGATGTAAACTCGTTATTCACTAATGTGCCATTGATCAAAACAGTTGACATTTTGTGTGATTATACTTCCACAAACAATTTTTTCATCCCGTTCCCTATATCTTACTTAAGGAATTTATTACTTCTATGTACTAATAATGTTAGATTTACATTTGAAGGCGATTGTTTCCGCCAAGCTGATGGTGTTGCTATGGGCAGTCCGTTAGGGCCCCTTTTAATTTAAATAATTTTTCCTTCACGTTCCCCAGTGGAACATAGGGCTCCAAGCTAGTGGCTTAAAGTTTCTGTAGCAGAGTTTATTTTAGAGGATGGGGTTGCTAGCCCCATGCCCAACCTTTCCTCTTTACCAGGTTTTATTTCTGGCGTAGCGAGGTAAAGGAGTGCGTCGGCCGGGGATCGAACCCTGGACCATGTGCATGGCTGGCGAGCGTCCTAACCGCTATACCACCGACCCCTTTTAGCAGATATTTATATGTCATACATTGAGAATTCACGACATAGCGCAGAAGTTAGAATTCGTGTGCCATTGGATCGAGTCCTAGTGGCTTAATGGTTTACGAGCTCGCCTTGTAACCAGAAGGTTCTGGGTTCGAACCATGACGGTGGGTGAGTACTGCTGAAGCAGACTTCCAAACTAGGAGGAGGAAACAGCTGTCCAGTACTCCCAGCTGGTTTTCCAGTGGTTCTCTAACCAATGTCAGCTCATGATGAAATCTATTATTTTTTAAGTGACAATATCACTTCACGTATTTTCAGTCTGAACTCCTTTTTTCGGTTAACAAAAATGCAGTCAATATAATGCATATTTCATCTTTCATATCAGTCTTTATAGTACATTTCAGGTAAGAATTTCCATACAAGCTGATAGCAAACAAAGAAACACTCGAAACGAAGGATCTGTTTCGTTCTAGCTTTGGACTCATCAACAGCCTACACCGAAGACGCCACCAGGAATTGGACCCATGAATCGTAACTTACAGAATCCAATCTCTCCAAACCAGACATGTGTTTAATATCTTCTTGTTACAAATTATAAAACTGACTAAATATAATAAATACTTTACACGAGATATATAGAAGTTATAATTTTCTATACACTAACTTACTGTAAGTAAGTAACAGAGGTACGTCGTGAATTAATCCCCGAATACGCAGCTGATACACACAACTGTTCATTGCTTTATGGCCTTGTTGGTTACTGGCCTTTATATTTGAATGTTATGGCTTGATTCACAATAACATATCCAAAGAAACGGCACTTGTTTTCTGTTACTGTATCGAAAATAATCGGTAGAATAGTTGTATAAGACTATTCTTAGAAACTTAAAATGACAAATTTGTTCAGCCACGTGACAATGAAACAGTTTCAAGAAACGACACGCTTATTTGCATAAATTAGTTAAAAACTTGAAGACAAGCCTTTTGCAAACAATAAATCAAGACAAAATCTTGGATGTCTTCAGCTGAAAAATTGAATCATTGATTAACTGTATACAGTGTTCAGTATACTGAAGTAAAAGTAAATTAATAAAACTTGATGGTTTCATTTAATACTGTGTCATTATAAATATGATTTACATAAACCTTGAACAGTAGCAATTTATGCTTATTGTTTAAAAATCGCTTTGTGTTCTCAGAGATATCGATAACTTGTCGTGGATGTTCCATAATGATCTGTTTACCACTAACTTCAGTAAGACGTAGATTATGTCCTTTGGTAATTCCAGTTCGCACATAACAACAGTTTTTCTTCCTCTGTCTGATTTGAACCACATTACTGTTTTCCTAAGTATTATTGATTTCATGGTCTCCATCTTTCTCTTTGTTTAGTATAGGTCCTTGTTCTTGGACATTATTTGTCATAAGAACAATTGACTGACAAAGTTCATGTCAAAGGTCATGAACTCAAAAGCTAGAATAGTGAGACGACTAAAAACCACTAAAGTAGAGGAAGAGGAAATACTGGTCAGCTTTGATGTTAACAGTCTCTATACTAAAATACCCATTCAAATGTCCGTGAATGCACTGAAAGAGAGACTAAAAGAAGATAATAGCTTAAAAAACAGGACACAGTTATCTGTAGAAGAGATAATAAAAGGGGTGGAATTCTGTCTGACAACAACATATTTTACATATGAAGGAAAAATATACCAATAAAATGAAGGAGTAGATATGCCATCACCCATCTCACCAATAATAGCTGACATATTCATGGATTTTTTGGGAAGAGTATGCACGTATACCATTCAGGTCATCAATAAAATGTTGGTGGAGAAGTGTAGACGACATGTTAGTATTAATAAGAAGAAAAAACGATGTTGAGAAATTCTTCTCGCAAATAAACCGTCATGTAGTCTCAATAAAATTCACAATGGAAATATAGGTTTTAATTAGGGAACTACCTGTGTTATACTGCAAAATACAAAGAGTAACAGATGGTAGCATAAAAACGACGATATATAGAAAAAATTAATGTCATTTGAAATTAATGTCTTCAAATGACATTAATTTTGTCAAATATGCCGACGACCTGACTGTATCTTTGCCCATCAAATGTCAAAGTGACTGCTCTAAACTAAACGGCTTTTTATCAGAAATCAGCCAGTGGTCCAAGGAAAACAGTCTAACCCTAAACCCCTCCAAATGCCAAACAGTCAATTTCACCTTTAGGCACAAATCTGACCTAAAAAAACCGGTCAGCACTTACGAGGTGTGCAGCATAGATGGCACTGAAATTGAAACCAAGTCGTAAATTAAATACCTAGGCGTCATTCTATCTACTCATCTTTCCTAGTCGTCTCATATCTCGATGATTTCTAAGAAAATATTCCGTCCTACCTTCTACATCAAGAAGTTAAGACATTCTGGTATAACCCAACCATTACTCCTACAATTCGTTAACCCCCGTATTCTGCCTATTATTCTCTATTGTTCCCCCTTCGTTTTTCCAAGGCTGGCTATTGAAGAAAGACTATACCTTATTACGCAGAATGTTAAAGGTTGTCAGCAGGATAAGCTACGTGCCACTTAACCAACTTGTGAAAAATTGGCAAAATCCATTTTATCTGACTCACAACACCCTCTTCATTCACAACTCTCCCCTTATATCTCATCAGGCAAAACCAGAAACCTGCCTATGTAGAAAACTATATGCTCGCACTAGGAAGTACAAAAACTCATCCATACCCTACCTAGCTCGTGTTCTGTGAGATAAAGAAAGCATTAGGTGTGAAACCTTTAACTTATTAAGTAGTCAGTGGAACAAATGGATCTCATCTTTCCAAGTCACATCATTCACAGGTACAACATTTTCTTTCTTTCTTTCTTTTCCTTTTCTCTCTCTTTTTTTGTTATGTGCTGCTTTGTTTCTTTCTTCCTTACTAACTCTTTTAAAACATTCTTCTTCGTTCTCTCACACTCTGTATATCTCGACCTTTCTGTTGCCGCTTACGCCAGTAAATATCCTAGTACCTACTTTTCTAACACCTTCAAACACTCTGTTCAATTTTGGCTTTGCTACCGACATGCCGATAGGTTGTTGTCATAATGAACTGAGACTACCCATATTCTATGTAGAATTTTATTTATTGATAATGTACTAACTGGATGTAATACTGTAGTGAAATGCCGAGAATTCCATTCTGCATCACAGGTACTGTTATGAAATGAAGTAAATTATTATTATTAACTACGCACTCTGAAAGATTCCTTGATTATCACTCGGCCCATCCACTCAAGGTAAAACGAGTATTAATACAAGGTCTTGCAGATAGAATATGTAGACTCACAACAACACCAGAGGACCAGCGTAAAAAAATAAACATCCTATACAAAATACTACTCGACAACAACTACCCAAAAGAACTTATCAGAGATAATATCAAAAAGAGAAAAAAGAGGGTAAAACTGGAGAACGAGAAGACGGAAGAATGCAAACAAGCAGCCACAATACCATATAAAAATGGTACATCAGAGGCAATTCGGAGAAACCTCAAAAATATTGGGATTCGCACGACGTTCAAACTGACGAATCTAATCAAAAATAAAATAAATCAACTGAAAGATCCCATAAAAATGGTGGATAAAAACAATGTGACTTAAAAAATATCTTGTGCTGAGTTTCCGACTTAATATGTGGGTCAAACGTCCAGATCACTCGAAATAAGAGAGAATGAACATAAACGCCTAACTAAAGGTAAACTAACAGGAACACAAGAAATTAGAAAAAATAATCATCTAGACTTGCACACGGATGGGACAAAAGCCACAATACCGATTGGAACAACTCATTATAATGAAACCTTTTGTATTTCCCAATGAATGAAAAACAAAACGATATTGTTTTTACTGACGTTTCGCAACAATGTTTGTATTCTCAAAACTGAAATGAACAAATGGAAAGAGAGACTTATAACAGAATCAATATTCACTAAGGTCACACCGGATACATGTAACAAAGGTGACTCAGAACAACTGTCAACAATCTGGAATATAATTCTGAATACAAAAAGAATGAATGAACAAAAAATTCTCCCCAATAGTCACTGACGTTTTCATGAACAGATTCGAAAATAACATCTTTTCAAGCATACTCACTCCTGAAATATGGTTAAGATATGCAGATGATACTTTTGTAGTACTAAAACGAGATCTACACAATTCATTCCTGGAGAAAATAAACTGCGTATCTCCCAAAATCCAGTTCACTTCGGAAGCAGAATCAGACATCAATGAACTTCCATTTCTAGACTGCCTAGTTAAGAGAAAGGAAAATGGACATTTTAGTATATCCATATTCAGGAAGAAAACCCACTCCAATAAATAGTTAGACTTCAAATCATCACACCCCAACAGTGCAAAGATTTCAGTTGGTTCAAGTCTTCTTAGACGAGCACACTCCCTCATAACGGATGAGCAAGAAAAAGAAGAAGAAATATCAAACATCACTGAAACTCTCAAGCAAAACAACTACCCAACGAACTACATCAACAAAATCAACACAGACATTAAGTATGGCCGAAAATGCATTCCGAAAACATGGACTTCAACAATCGTCATTCCATATAGAGCAGAGACGTCAGACGATATCGGAAGAGTACTCAATCAGCTCGACATTAGAGTTTTCTTCAAAACATCGGACACACTTCAAAACAACCTTGTCCATATAAAAGATCAAATTCCTAAGGATTCTCTATTTAATTGTGTCTAAAAAATAAAATGCTCGGAATGTGATGCGATACGCATCGGACAAACATCTCGAGAAATCAAAATCAGTAGAAATGAACACCGTAGAGCATTTATTCAACCACCGAGAAATCCGGTTGAACTAGAAAAACTTGAAAAATCATCAGCCATAGAATCAGGCCACAAAATTGATTTTGACAATAACTTTAGGAATCACAAGGAACGTCTAATATCAGAAACACTCCATGTCAAGTGGGATCCAAATTGCCTGAATAGGAATGATGGAGTGAAACAGAATCTGACCTCGTTACAACATCTCCCTCAGTCATGAAGTGACAAAATCAACACGAATGTGGTAAGCAAGTTCACTATGTAAACACACATTGCTATTATACTTCTACACAGTGATCAAATCCAACAACCTACACCTGGTTTCGTTATTTTTACCAACTGTGGTTGGTGGCACAGTGGTTAGGACTCTCGCCAACCATGCATATAGTCCGAGGTACGATCCCCTACCGACGCACACCCGATATCTATGGTCGGCCTGCAAAATTTGAGCTAACGATATCCACGCTGAAAATTCCATACTTGTACCAAAAATACAGTGTGGAATCAAGCTGTAATCAAAAATAAAAATAAAATAAAAAACCCACTGGAACGTTCACATCAAGACTATATGTCTCGCCTAAAGTGCACAAAGATGGTGTACCGCTTCGACCAGTATTATATGCTTAATTCGCCATACCATCCTGTAGCCAAATGGTTAGTCAAACTCTTACAGCCTCTTCATACCGAGTTGGTGAAACACAGTGTAAAGGATACTTTTGGATTTGTGGAAGGGATAAAAGATTTAAAATTCCATACTTGTACCAAAAATACAGTGTGGAATCAAGCTGTAATCAGAAATAATTTAATAAATTTGACAAGGGGAAAATGACCCCATGCTGAGGAACGATGATTAAGTTGTTACATATAAGCTAAAATTTTGTAAATTCTGGTTTAATAATACTTTGATAAAGCTATTATCATTAAATACCGGAACGTTAGTAAAAACAATATTGTTTTGTTTTTCATTCATTGGGAAATACAAAAA